CTTCAAGACTCAAACCAGAACAAGACAAAGTGGAACAGGGGTAGAAACTCAGACGATACAATATGGGATGAAGAAAGAGAAATAAGAATCTGGTGGTTGCCTCCGGCAACAGCAAACTCGGCTCCTCTGTGCACACCCTCACCGGCGATGAGAAGAGGAAGACAGTGATGAGAGAGGGAAAATGAAGAGTGAAGGTCTAAAACTGGTTTAATCAGGTGTTCTCTCCCTCTCCCTCCCTCCCTCCCTCCCCCTCTCTCTCTTAGAGTTGCAGGCACGTGCACGAAAATGGGGGAAAAATGGAGAAGGTCCGACGACACTGGTACTCCCAGTAGTGGTGATCAGAAAATTTCTCACTCACCCACTCAAACACACCGACGACAGAAGGGATGAGGATTAGCCGAGTAAGGTTTTGGCTCGCTCTCTCTTGTTTAGCTCCAGAACAAGGGAAAACAAAAGAACAAGTCGACAATGCTATGTGTTTTCTTTCTTTCTTTCTTCTCCTCCCTTTATTTTGTGGGGATGGGGGCATTTTAGTAATTTTCCCAATGCTGAATCATAAAATAAAATTGCTCCACTATCACCCCATGGATTTAACCACAGTTCCTCTTAATAAATTTATCTTGAAATTAATATAAATACTCTTATATTAATATAAATACCCTTATAATATCTTATCATAAATTTTAATTCTCACTAAAATTTTTGGGGTTATTACGACAAGTTGGAATTGGAATCCTAATATCATTAAAGATTAAAGAGAATATTTTTATAAAGACAGAGTATTTAAAAAATTATGTGGAAACATGGAATGTCCAAGAATTTCATTGAAAAAGGAATGATAGAAAGGAAAAATTAGTCATTCTAGGATGAACTAATTGAGTTATTAAGATTGCAAAATCTCACTCCTATTTGTTAAACTTCTCCAGGGGAGATAATAAGATGAAAGGAAAAGGGAAAGCTTTTGAGGCCAAGAGCTAAAGTTTTGCTGTTTGTAAAAGTTCTAGTTACCTTTTAGTGTAATGAAATAATTATCTTGCCAACCCTAGAGATTTTATGGCATATGTGGATTGTTTATCTTTTGTATGCGACCTTTTGTGTTTGACTTGGGCATTTTTGGCTGTTGATCCTTTATGTTTTGGAAAAAGGCCCACCATGCAAATGTGTGCATGTTGAGTTGATGATTAAATTACTTTAAAAGGTATTATAATTATGTATGTGATGTTGGAGTATGAATTATGATTGTTGAATGGTCAAGGTTAGTGGCTTGTATAAGGGAGACACTTGGTGGATGTGATGATTATTCTTGACAATTAATGTTGCTAGCCCTAGAGTGTCTGGGATCCTTGTTTGGAACTAGATTGAGGTGGAATCAAAGTCACTAGTTAGGGTGCTTAGTTATTTATATGAGGATACTTGGATCACCTCAATTAAATGCCTGATCTAAAAGTTAGGTATTTTGTGCTATCAAAACTAATGTTGTGTTGTTAAGTGCGCCTCGATGGGACATGTTGTTAGCTGCGGCCTCTTTGCCACAAGTCGCAAAAAACAAACATTTGGTTGTGATAGATGTGTTGCTTGGGGTTAGCTGAGGTGGAATATATCGTGGGCCATGACGAGTAGTTTCTGTGCTTCTACATGTAGCGAGTATGCCAATTAGTTGAAAATGACCTTTTGCCCTCTTTAACCTATTTTTAATTATCAACCTAGTTCCATATTTTTACAGTAATTTATACTCTAATTACCTAATACCTTTCAAGGGCCTTGACTTGTAAATTTTTTTATTTCTTTTAATAATTGTTTTAGTTTCTCATTGTTTTAACTGCTATCAAAGTAAATTACCAAACCTTTTCTTAACCAAGGTTGTTTCTTACATTTGTTGTTTGAATTAATTTTGTTAGTTGAGTTTAGTATGGATAATGATGAAGGTTATTACACTCTCTGCCCACATTTGCCCAGATATGGAATGTTGTATTTGTAACGACCCATGAACATAATATAGTTTTGATGAGTAAACTCTTGCACGCATGTTGCCAACGGACACAAAATGAAATGGTCTTTCTGCCATAACACCAAAAAATAGTTTTAAAGAGCAAAAAAAAAAAGACAAAAAATAGAAGAGAACAAAGAGAAAGCAAGAGGAAAGATTGTACATTGCTAGGGTATCAAGATTTCAAAGCTTGGGGAGCAATTTGTAGGTCCTTAACTACAAAGTGATCTAGCTCTCTTTTCTAACCATTAAGCTACAAAATCTTCAGATTTGGGGATATGAAATTCTAGGGTTCATATGGATTTCAAATTTAGGTGTTTTCCTACTAGTTAAATGGTTGTTTGATGACTTAGAAGGGTTAATCTACCCTAGTTTTTAAGTTTTAAATAATGGAAATTTCATTGGATGATTGATTTGAGGATTTGGAAGTTATGGTTTGAATGCTTTGGAGGTATAATGACTTTAGTGCTAATTAAGTTATTATTAAATGGATTAGGATTATTTACTGGAGGTTGAATGTGAATTTAAAATGGTTTAGAATGTTGGCTAGGTTTGAAATTTGTGACTTGGAGAAATTGGACGTCAGATACCAAAACTTCGATTTGGAAATTTATGTAACATAGAGGGTTGAGGAATAATTTGAGTTATAAAGGATTAATTGAGTTTGATATTGATAGGAATTTGATAGAAATTGGATTAGTTTAACCTTATGCCTGGTGTAGATGGAGAGAAAAGTAGAAAGAAAATAAGAAAGAATGAAAATTAAAAGGAGAAATTTCTAAGAAATAATTTTTTTTACTATTTTTGGGAGTTTTCTTTCCTAATTATCTTTTCTCCATATTTTTCTCCTCATCTAAACAAAGAGCTAAAGTTTTCTCAAGGGAAATAGTGTTAGAAATAGCAACACACCCAAAAGAATAGTGAATTAAATATTTATCAAATTTTTTGTATTTTAAAATTTTTTAAATTAAAACAAAATATGAAAGAATAGTTAAATGATTAAGTTAAATCCAATTATGAAACTCCTTTAAAAGAATGCTAAAACAATTTCACATTCAAAGGGAGTAATAAAGCTTGAAATAAATTTTCTTAAGAATGCTAGCATCCTTGTTAGGCACGATCATTATGACCTCTCAATAACGAGCACGATCGCAACTTTACACCCTATCGCATCATCATGGTCATAATTGATGGGACGACAAATGTCCCTGCACCACTATACTTGGTGGAGCGTAGTTGGATAAAAATTCACAGCTCATATAATATTCATTCCAATCCTATTATATCATAACCAAATCCATCATGGCCAATAATCATGTCACATCATCCATCCAAATTTCATTATGACAATATTAATTCCAATATAATTATATTGTCAATCATTGGATCAACATTTTTTTAATGTTATACTATCAATCATATTCTATATCACTTTTAAATTGGATTATATGATGAATAATGCCAATTAGTCATATTATAAAACCATAAATATGCATGTATGCTAATACATAGTGATGGAATTAAATAGTGTGGGGAAAATTTTTACTTAAAATAAATATTAATTATTCTTAAAAATATCAGTTTGAACATTAAATTACATTAGAGGTAAAAATTTGTTAAAATTAATTACCAAAGAATAAGGCATAAAAAATATTCCCCCTTCAAACATGTAAGGCATTTTTTGAGGATTTTGATGTTAAAAAATGTAAGACATTTTTAGTCTTTTGAGGTATAATCATTGCTTTTTAAAAAAAAAATGCTCTTATTAATAGTGACTTTATATTTATTATAGAGTGTTTAATAAGGATAAATATGAAAAGATATGGTTAGTTTGAAAGTAAGTAATTACTTTATTAGAGGTAAAATTTAATTAAAAATGTCTTATATTTTTTAACAGGGGAAGTAACATTATAATGATGTATTAAATAAAATTGTCTAGATATAAATAAAATATATTTGTCTCTTGTGCTATAGAGGAATTTTGTATTTGAACAAATAAAGAAATTAACTTTTTAAATTATCAGTTCCTCCACTCTATTACAACATATAGATTATATCTGAGTTAATTAAATTTTTTAAGGATTTGCGAGACTTTTAAGAGGACACATGAATTTTTTCTTTTTGGGATGGGGCAATTAAAAATTTTCGAGGGGGCCATAGAAAATGTTTTGGGTCATTTTGTATTTTTTTTATTTTTTATATTGTGGGGGCACTTACCCTTATGAACCACCAAGCAGGTCCGTGCCTGCTAATGTAATAAGTGCCCTAAGTTACCAAAATCTTTTTTGTTAAAAAGGGCACAACACAATTCGAGAATCAAACCAAACCAATTTAATCACAAACCATTTGCCTTAAAAGAACAACCATTATCTCAACAACAATAAAAGTTCTTCCAAGAAATATAACCAATACCAAACATAGCCCAAAATCCACATATTAGAGTCCAATCTCCAAATATAAAATCATAATCAAATGGCCAATCCAATCTCACCACATTGATTCCATACACTTAAAGGATATCAAAAGATGGGGAACCAATCCAAGTCAAACAATCTGATTTAATGTCAAAAGTTCAAGTTGCCACACAGCCCAGACATAAACCAAACCACATCAAAAATTAAGTCCTAAACCATAAGATTATTGTAGGATGACACAAAAAGAAATTCAGAATTAGAGTAAGAGGATATCATAGTCATCCTGAAACATTTCTTTCAGGCATTTTTTTTTTGAAAAGTACCTATGCTTCATCTAAGAGATTGAATTTCAAATATATTATTATTATTCCTTAAAATTTAACTGTTTACAACTATCTTTAAAGGCATTTTGCCTTTTGACAATTCAATTTAAAATATAATATTCCTTGAAATTATATTGTCAATTAAACTTTAGTAATCATCAATAAAAAATATAAAGCTCTTTGCATCTTTGGAATCCATTTGGCCTGAATTATAAAATCTGATTATTAAATATGTTAGCCCCTCTTATTATTATCAAGTATTTCACTTTTGGAACCATTTGGCAGTGCTACACCCTACACATCATCAACCATATCAACTAAAGTTGTAACATTTTCAATCCATAGAATTATATATAGAAAACCAATTACCAACAAATTTGTAATTTTACACTTATAGTGACTTCACACAATTAAGTTTCCTGTTTTTTTCTTTTTGGTTTTAAGAATATGAAAAACAGGGGAGGAGTAGATAACCATATGCTAAGAAGTTTCTTTTGTTTCCATATACCTTTTCCTGGTGAAGCGACAGCCCACTTGACAACATCGTTCCCCATATTTAGGATTCCTAAATTCACACATTTTAATAGTTCTAACTTGCAGGCGAATGAAATTCAATAATGAATACTGCAAAATTCGTCCCTATGTTAGCACTTTTGAAGTTGTATCACTAGTTATATGTACATAAGGATGTAGAGAGACTTGAAAGTAAGGTTCAACTTTGGCCATGAGATTTTGCTGGTCTTGCTTCCCCTACTTACAAACAGTTATTGTCTTGTATAGGTTCATGCCTATTCATATCAATATTGTTATATTATATATACATAACCACAACTTGATAGCTGTAGACATTTTAGTTTCTACAGAGAAATAAGATTAAGTAAAGTGGTGTCACCATTCATTATTCTTCCATGTCATCTTTTTCCTAACCTTCTCTCATCTAGTCTACATCATTCAGCATCTTCAGAGCTTCAAGACTACAAAAGTTAACATATTAAATATGTTAAAATCTATAGAGTATATACCAAGACAAGCCCAACCCTTGCAAAAAGAATTCCACAGAATTCCAATTAATCCCCAAGAAATAGGTTGCATAAAAATAAAGTAATCAGTGGTCTTGGGTTGGAGTCAATAATTTTCTTTCATATTTCATCCTAAAAGTTTCTCTAAGAAATTAGATCATTTCTAATAAGAAAACTTGTAAAGAACTTATGGAAAAGGATCAATCTATGTACTTCACTTTGCAAACAAGTTCCTTTGATAACTTCATCATTCAAATTAGCATTCATCAACTTTGCAACAAGACGCAAGGAAATCAAGTAATGTACAAGACAAAACAATAATCTCTGACCAATGAAACCTAACAACAACAACAAACATCATCCTACCAGGTGACATGGATTGCACGACACTAACGAAACTGAAACTAGGGGAAAAAACAAAGTGAAAAAAGCCATGCTTCTAATCATTTGAGTTGATCATTATTTTTCCTAAGGAAACTTCTAGTCAAATTATATTTTTCTTAATGCTTATGACTAATCATATTTGATACACTGATATACCATCCCAAACAATACCTATTTATATATTTTCATGACTTCATGAAATAAATAATCAAACAAATGAAACATTGAGAGTTTACAAGAACAGATTAACACAAAATTGAGAAACACAACTAATGAACACTAAAATGCTGTAAAAGAACACAAATGAAAATATAATCAAAAGTGTCATTGAATTAAATTATCCATATCTATATCTTTCTTTCTGCTTGCTATCTGTAACTTGTGCTTAGAAGTTGAACAAAGAATCCATCATTTTATATGCGCATGCATGCATTTTATCTTCACTAAATAATATAAGTTTTAGAGTGAGAAGAAAATAAAGGGCTTAGATAGTGATCTACCTATCCTGAAAACCAATTAAGCTTTCTCCGTTGAGCTAAATATGTTTCTATTTCTTCATCATTGATAATGATTTCTTCTCGCAGATCTTTCCCTTCACGGTATCTCTTTCCATGACCAGAATTTTGAGAAAAGATTTCATTGATATCACTAGTGCTGCATTGTTGGATTGTTTTGAGCCATTCTTGCACATCTTCCTTGCATGTCACACGCCAACCACACTTGCTTATTAAAAACTTACCATGACCTCCTCCATCAACTTTCACATCCAATTCTTTTTCCATGTTAGCACGTAGGATTTTTTTAGTATAAAATATGAATTCAACCTTGCTGGAACTAACTGTAAAATTGCTTAAGGGCAAATACATGGTCAACATTTGATTGGAATGGCCTTCAAATTTAACACCCCATCCTATCTCTTTTTTAAAGAATTCATCCCCTGATGCTTTACAAGTCATCAAAAGGTCAAGATGGTAGACATCATCAAGGTCTATATCTTGAAGAACAACACAAAGAGAAATTCCCCAACTTTTACTTGAATCATGAAAATGAGTGATATCTACTTCTATTGAAACAATGGAATCAGCATCTATAAAATTTCCATTCTCATCATCATGACAAGTTTGCTCAAAAATTCGAACTACATGGTTATCTTGAAACCCAACAATTTTATCAAGAATTTGGAAGTCTTGATTGTGGAACCATGATGGGATCTCATTCCCTAGAATCCACCAGATAGCCAATTCTAAGTTGTATACACGACTTTGTGGAAAATATGCCATAGAAGCATTTGCAAATGCAATGCACTTCAGTAGCATCTCTGGAAATGATAATGGTTGTAATGAATGACAAGCAACTGTATCTATACGTTGTAAATTTGGTGGAAGGTCTGGCAAAAATTTAAGCCTTGGGCAGTGACTTAAATGAAGAGTATGAAGATGCAAAAGATTAGAGATACAACCAGCAGGTAGACGTGTGAAATTGTTTCCCAATAGACCAAGTGTAGTCAATGATGGTGAGAAACTAAGATCTTTAGGAATTGACCCATCGTTGAGATTACAGTTACACATGTGTAAAGTCTTCAATGAGGAAAGACATGAGAATAAAGATGAAAGTACCCAGTTATAAGCAGGTTCATTGCTTAAGTCATTTCTACTTAGACTAAGTAACTCTAGTGATGATAAACGACCAAGGTCATTTGGAATTGATCCAACTTTCAAATTGCAGTTATCTAAATACAATTCCTTTAATGACACTATACTTGAGATGAAAGAAGGAAACACCAATCTTGGGGGAGCTTCATTATCATACCCAAATATCTTTTGAATTGGGAAAAACAAGCTCCTTACCAATGTGTTGGATCTTAAACTTAGACCTTTACATCCTTTCAAATATAGTGACTTCAAATTTAGTAGGCCAATGATGGATGAAGGTACATCTTTGATAGCAGTTCCACTCAAATCAAGCTCCTCTAGGAACTTATTTTCATTCAGATTTTGTGGCAATGTAGAAAATTTTGAGCAACCTAAAATATTGAGAATTTTGAGAGATTTTAGGTTACAAGTAGACCTTGGAAGACAAATAAGGTTTTTGCAATTTTTGAGATCAAGGATAAACAAGTTGGTCATATTTTCCCCAAACTCAGGAAGCTTTTTAACTTTTGAGCAACCAGAAATGATCAATTTATTCAATGAATCCATTTCCATTCTAAGTGGAAGAGCCTTAAGATTCTTGCAATCTTTCAAGTTAAGTACAACAAGTTTCTTAAGTTGTCCAAGTGATGGGTGAACCTCAACAAGTTTTATGCAACCTTCAAGAACTAGTTCCTCAAGGTTAGGAAGCATCAAAAAATTAGGAGTTCTACTGAAATCTTCAGAATAACTTAGATCAATGAACTTCAACTTTTCTAACATCTGCTTAAAACAAGACAAGTGTACAATGTTTAGCATTGAAAAAACTAATAACAATATTAAGCTTATTTATGTGGCATTAAGAAAATTTTCTTACATGTTTTATCTCCCAAAGTTGTAAAATCTTGCCGTGATGCATTTTAAGGATTTCAAGCTGAGTTAAGTAAGCACCAGATGGAAGAGAACTCAAAGGATATGTTTTCCATTCTAGAATTTTTAAAGAACTAGGAAGGCATTTGAGACCATAAGGAAGGTGCACATCACATGATATGATCAATATTCTAAGATTATACATCAGAGAGAACACATTGGGATCCCAATTTACCTCATATGGCATAGTTGATTGAAGATGTATAACTTCCACCATATCAGAACCCTAAAAAAAAATAAACAAACAAATAAATAAGGATAAGGAATAACGATCAATACAAATTCAGCAATTACACAATAGAAAATTTTAATGCAACTCCAGAACATATATAAGCTACTTACTTTGTTATTTCTCATCATGTGATCAATATCTTCTACTAACCATAGCCTGCTTCTTTTTCCAGCATCATTGGGTGATTGCTCTAAAACAATAATTTTACCCATTTCTTGAAGGATATCATGCATACCCAAACAACAAGTACCATAATCAGAATAGTATTCAACTATCAAGCATTTTTCCACAAGTTCTCTTATTGCAAGTAATGGATAAAGGCCACATATTTCAAATATTTGCATAACTTGATCTTTGAGCATTCCCTTGAAAAAACATGCAATGTCCAAAAATATTTTCTTTTCCACATCACCTAATGCATCATAGCTTATTCTAAGTCTCTTTAGAATATTTCTTGGTGGAAACTTTTTAATTTTCTCCAAACCTACATTCCATTCAAGTTCACTTCTTCCACAAAAGTAAGAACCTAAGACTTCAAGAGTTAAAGGAAGACCTTCAGCATAGTGGATGACACTTTTACATAACTTGAAAAAATTTTCTTTAGGTCTATCCCTTTTAAAAGCCCTCTTGCAAAGAAGTTGAAAAGATTCATCATCATTTAATAATTTAGCCTTGTACGTTTCAAATTCTCCATGCACCATTAGTACTTGCATATTTCTAGTTGTCACAATAACCCTACTTCCAGAACCCAACCATGCTTTCTTTATTGAAAGGTTCTCTAGTTGGCTTATTTCGCTTACATCATCCAACACAACTAGAAGTTTCCTATTGCAGAACAAGTTTCTTATCAGATTCTTTCCTTCATATGCATCATCAACTTCTAAGTCTCTTATCTTGAGCTTGGAAAGAAGTTTTCTTTGCAAGCCAACAAAACCATTAGTCACATAGCTTTCTTTTACATTAGTAATAAAACAACTAATGTCAAACTGGTGACGTATTTTCTCATAAATAATTCTTGCAAGAGTTGTTTTTCCTATACCACTCATACCCCATATTCCTATTAAGTGAATATCAACCAATCCAATTCTTAAAAGTGTATTCACTTCTTCTATCCTGGAGTTAATGCCAACAAGCTCATCATGGAAACAATATGGTAATTTAGGTTGTAGCTTTGCCCATATTTCTTTAGTAATTTCTTCAATGAGTTTTGTCTCTAGCCTAAATAGAGGAAATGAATAATCAAGGGTTATTTTGTATATCCAAAGAAAATGACAACCTAGCTACTATAAGAGCAAATTCAAGTTGTCATGATTTTTAAATTTGGTGATCAAGGGAAAAGCATATTGATATAAATAATGCCCTAAAGAAACTACATCAATAGTTTGCTAACTTTAGTTGGTAAGACCTAGACATATTGTATAATTGACTTAATATTTTATTTTAATAAAACATAGTTTGTTTCCCTTCAGGGCTTTAAGTTTGGGTGTTTTTAGGTATATATCCAACTCAATAATATCAATACTAGATTGTTTTTCAGTAGTAATAGCAACACCAACAATAAAAATAATAATGGCAACTAGGAAATAGAATTATTAGCTATGGAAGATAGGAAAAGTCACCCCATATCAAGAAGATTAAGAGCAATCAGTTGATGAAAAGAATATATATATATATATTGGTTCAAAAACTAAATGAAAAAGATACTCTAGTTTATTGCTTCAATCTTATATGTCAATACAAGAAAAACAAGGTCCTATTTATACTGCTCTAAGTCTTACACTAAAAATAGGGAAATAAATAGTAAACTACAAATGCATTTTATTTGCATTAATGGTAGTGTTGCAATGGATGTGAATGAACACATTTTATTTATCTTCCCTTCACTATTGTCATTCCATTTCATCTTCCTCAAGTTTCATGGAACTCACCCTTAAGTCAAGTTCAACATTATCATCAATGTAAAGAGATTAATCAGCAACATTGAAGGTGGTAAACACTTCATAAGAACCAGGAATTTCCACCTTATAAGCATTATTATTAATATTTTACACATTCTTGAATAGACCATCACCTCTTGGGGATAGCTTAGTGTATGGTTGTTTAGGACAACATTCCTTTCTCATATGTATCCAAACTAAGTCTCCCACATTAAAAGTTTGATATTTTCAATGCTTGTCACGTTGAGTTTTATATCTCAAGTTCTTCTATATTCATTCACGAAGTTGTTCACGCAACTTCTTGATTTCCTTAGCCCTTTAATCAGCATCAGAACTATATTGTTGCTTGACAAGTAACAGCGTCAAGTCTAGTGGACTAAGAGGATAAGCACCGTAAACAACTATAAAGGGGAACTTCCTAGTTGTTTGGTTAATAGAGTTATTGTAGGAAAATTTAACTTAGGCAAGAATGAGATCCCACTGCTTCAAATTCTTTCCCATGAAACTGTGAAGAAGATTACCACAAATCTTATTTACAACTTCAGTTTTACCAATTGTCTAGGGATTACTAGCACAACTAAACTAGATTTTAATCGCCACCTTTTTCCATGTCCTCCAAAAGTGGCTAAGAAACTTAATATCACAATTAGAGGTGATGGTATTGGGAATGCTATGGAGATGAACAATCTCTTTAAAGTACAAACCTACTACTTGAATGGCATCATTTGTCTTTTGGCATGGAATGAAGGTTATGTTTGAGAATTGATCCACGACTACTATGATGGAATCTTTATATCTCTGAGTCCATGGTAAACTAAGAATAAAATCCATGCTCACATCTTCCAATGGTGCTTTTGGAACTGGCAGCAGCATGTATAATCCCATGTTTTGACTCTTGGCCTTAGCAAATGACATACATCTTTATATATGATAACTGACATCTCCTTCAAGCCTCAGCTAATAGAATTATCTTTGACTAGATCAACTATTTTGTCTCTACCGAATTGACCAGCTAGTCTTCTATCATGAGCTTCTTAAATTATGGCTTCTTTCAAGGAACATCGTGGAATGCATAGTGTTTTGCCTCTAAATAAAAACCCATCATGTCTGTAAAATTAATGAAAAGATTGATTTATATTTGCTTCCTACACTCTTCAAAAATCAGGATCATCTTGGTCTAGCTCTTTGACAAGTTCAAACCTAACAACTTTAGCCTGCATTGTTGTGAGCAACACATGTCAACGACTAAGCACACTAACTATGTAACTTAAAGTTCCAGCCTTATGCTTAATAAGGAATGGATAAGATCATAAGAGTTCAATCCAATAAGTATGCTTACGGCTGATCTTTTACTGAGAATTCAAATACTTAAAGGCCTTATGATTAGAAAAGAGTATAAACTCTTTGTTCAGGAGATAGTAACTCTAATGTAAAGAGCTCGGACAATGGCATAAAATTCTTTGTCATAGGTAGAATGCCTAAGCATCACAACTAACTTTAAATACTTGATCAAAATTAGGAAGAGGTAGGACAAGAGCATAAATTAACTTTTTCTTAAGCTTCTTAAAACTTTTTTGAGCTTGCTCTGTCCACCAAAATTTATCTCCTTTGGTATAATTTATAAGTGGTGCAACAATAGAGTTAAAATTACATATGAACCTCCTATAGAAAAAAAGCTAATTCATAGAAGCTTCAAACCTCCTGAATAGATCTAGGAATTGGCTAGTTATTAATGGCTACAACTTTGATTGGATTAACTTAAACACCCTCTATAGTAATGATATAACCTAAGAATATAACTTCACTGGTAAAAAAGGTGCACTTCTTGGGATTAGCATAAAGCTTCTATTTTCACAAGGCTTACAAGACTTACCGTAAGTACCCTAAGTGTTCATCTTGACTCTTATTGTAAATAAGAATGTCGTCAAAGTAAAAAAATAACAAATTTGCTAATAAAGGGTCTCAATACCTGATTTATCAAGTGTATAAACGTGCTAGGGGCATTTGTCAACCCAAAAAGGTATCATATTCCACTCATACAAGCCATCTTTGATCTTAAAAGCAGTCTTCCACTCATCTCCTAGCAGAATTCTGATTCGGTGGTATCCACTACGAAGGTCAATTTGGAAAAGATAGTGGCACCATGCAATTGGTCTAACATATCATCGAGCCAAGATATCAGAAGCTGATACTTGATAGTGATCTTGTTAACAGCTTGGCAATCAATGCACATTCTCCAACAGGTATATTACAAGAGCTTACACTTTCTCAAACTAACCATTTTTTCAACATCTCTACAACTTGCCATTAGACTTTGGCATGTTCCTAGGGACTCATTCTGTAAGTAGGCTTCTTAGGAATAAATTCTCCTAAAATAAGGCCAATAACATACTGTATGTCTTGCATAGGTGGCAACCCTAGTGCTATCTCATCAGACATCACATATGAAAATTTAGACGATAAAGGCATGACTCCTGGAGGATTGGTAGACTTATTGTTTACCTTAAGCACTATAATGAGAATCATCATTTCGGTTTTAGACTTTGGCACCTTGAACTCCTCCTTGGTCATCAAAGACACCAATAGCTTAGATTCCCTTAAAGATTGGCTAATCTTATTGAGTGATAGAGGCATTAATATGAACTTAACACCATCTTTCATGAAAGAATCAGTATTTGTACTCCCGTTACACATACATAGCATGTCGATCATATTGCCATGGTCTCCCCAAAAGAATGTGGCATGCATCCATGGAAACAACATCACACAAAACTTCATCACAATACCTATTCCTAATAGAAAAATTCACAAGGCATTGTTTAAAAACTTTTACTCCATTTCTCCTTATCAAGCTAGTGAAGCTTGTAAGGATGTGGATGGTCTTACATTGGCAACTTCAATTTCTCCACCATGTAGTTAGACATAACATTTTTATAGCTTTCATTATTAATGATGACATTATAAACTTTTTTTTAGGTT